AACTGTAAATACCGTACTTCATAAGAAATTCAAAGATGAATAAGAGTTAACTGTTATCCATTATGTCTTGTATTGGTTTTCTGTTGGTCGCTATCCATAACATAATACAAGCTAGAGCAATGTATACTAACGAATAAATCTTTCCAAGCACGCCCTAATTTATAATCGCATGCAAGATTCCTAGAAACGTCTCGGTATTAAAAAATCATCAAACGAATTTTACYAATTCGAGTGCAGCAGTACTTTTTTTGCTATTTTGTTCATCAATTTGTACTGGTAAAAATGTCATGTTATAGGAACAAGTTGCGTTGATTCTTATTTAATGTTGCTAATCTAGAGATAGGTATGTCAGTATACTGGCTAACGGGTAAAACAGAAGCGCTAATCAGTTCTACCGAAGGCAAGCTTCACACTAGCTCCTTCGACAAGATTGCATGGCAAATGAAAAAACAGAGGTCAAATTTCTTAGGAAAAGAGAAGCCTATTAATGTGAAAATGTTTATTTAAGTTTATTTTTCTATATTCACTGGATAAGGTTTTATATATCGGATGGCGCTGCCCACCCTTTGTACAACCAGGCCCTGATGCTCAAGCTGAAACGAAAACGAAATCCTATATTTTGTTCTTTTTTACACTCACTCACTCACTCAGCATTACTCATCTTTTTCAATTTCTTTTCCTAAAGGCTTTGAATATGGAGGAAGGACAGAGATTTTTGGAAGTATTAATTTCGAGAGTAAAGATTCTTACCTGTAGTTCAAGGAAGCGTTAGCGTCGAGGTTTAGCGTATAAAGCGGAATTAGAATCACGGARCTAAACAAAATATAGATTTTTTTACGKTATGATGCAGATAGGAAAAATTATATAGCGCTAATTGGCCTAGAGCTCATAAGAGCGTCACACCGATTGGTCAATTTGATACGCCTGTCGCGGCCAAAAGCCACGGAGGAGGACTAGGGCGGAGATCCACACACGCGTCCTATAGTTTTATGTTACAGAGCCGTGTAGCTATAGCAGAAGAACAAAATTGTAAGTTTATTGCATTGCATTTCTTCATATCACGGAATATCGCCAATTAATATGTTTCTTTTCTATTTCTAGTTGTGAACCGTCGCTTATCATCTCATTTTACGGTTTATTCATGCTAGAACTGCTAAAGAATAATTTCAATCGCTGCGTTAAGATCGGAGAGTTCAATCAGTTAAACGAAGTGTAATCAACGTGTATTTTGGGAAATAAAGGCGAGTGTCACAAGTATTCTGCAGCTACATTTCGTTCACAAAATTCTGATTCCAAACGACGAGTAAAGACAGAAGAAATAACGCTTGAAGTCTTTGAAACTATGGTGAGTTTAGAGTTTTGAAGACCAWTGTTATGGATCATTGCACAAGCACGCCAGACCCGAAGGCGCCAACTTCAGATCTCGATAATGAYATGCAAATTAATGATAATACCGCAGAGAGGCGCGAAAGAGAGAGAATTCCGACTGAAAGAGGAAGACAAGAACATATTAGAATTTTAAAAAATCGAAGAACAACCGCTCTTCGCGAGGCTTCGAAGAAAAGAACGAAACTTACAGAGCTTCTCTCAGACGAAGAAAATTTGCATCTAGTTTAATCGCAATTTGAAGAGCTTAACTCCTTATTTAATGACTTTCAAGCAGCTCATGAAGCCCTGGTTGAGCATTTSACCTCCGACGATGACAAAGATAAGGAAGATGATTATTTTATCGCCAAACAAAGCGCAGCGCTGGAGTTTCGAAATCAAATAATTCATTGGATTGAGCTAGGAGAAGCACGATTAGCAGAACGAGCCGACCTCTTAGAATGTAATTCAATGTCATCTAAAGGCTCCAAGCRCTCGCGCCACTCAAGAAGATCGACGGGTTCAGCTGCTTCAGCCAGAGAGAAGGAGCGCCTCAAGCTGGCCGAGATGATGGCCGAGAGGTCACTTTTGAAGGAGAGACAACGTATTGAAGAGCTTAAACTAGAAATAGACATAGCGAAGTCACGCGCGAGAGAAAGAGTCTATGCCATAATGGAAGCTGAAGAATATGGTGGATTGCCTGCATACTCCAACTCAGCCCCGSCCTTGATGCGGTCTACACCAAGGCAGAGAAGTAATTTCAGCGTTATACCAGAGCAGTATGAAGGAAACGGATTCAAGTGCCCCGACGCTACAACGGAACGCAACGAGCATCGTAGCACAGGGGAAAGGATCACCACGGAAATTCATGCCGCTAGCAAGGAACCCAACGAGCAGTATGGAGAAAACGGATTCAAGTGCCACGACGCTACAACAGAACGCAACGAGCATCGTAGCGCAGAGGAAAGAATCATCACGGAAATTCGTGCCGCTAGCAAGGAACCCAACGAGCAGTATGGAGGAAACGGATTCAAGTGTCACGACGCTACAACGGAACGCAACGAGCAGCGCGACACAGAAAGATTCAGAACGAGAGTCCATGTCGCTACCAAGGAACGTGACGAGCGGTACGAAGAAACCGGATCCATGTACCTCGGCGCTACAACGGAACGCAACGGGCTTCGCGACACAGAAGAAAGGATTAGAGCTAAAGTTCATACAGTTGGCAAGGAACCCAATGAGCCCGATTGTGAAGTAAGAAAGCGGAATACATACGCAAATAAAGGGACTCATTCTGAAAGATCCTTTGCACCTAATATGTATTCTACTCCTTCACCGAATACGTCTTTTACGGAACAGCTATTAATTACTCAATTGGAGCAACACAGAGAAATGCTGTCTTCACAACAAGAAATGGCGGCCGCTATGCGATTGCCCCAACCCAAAGTCCCGTTGTTCAAAGGAGATGTCATCGAGTACAAGTCTTTCATAATGGCATTCGACKCACGCATAAAGTCAAAAACSTCGAGCAACGCAGACCTTCTCTACTACCTCTTCCAGCATCTCGTAGACGAACCAAAGGAACTAGTTGAAGGGTGCTTACACCTTGACCCAGAGCAAGGCTATACTGAGGCAAGAAGACTTCTAGATAAAGAATACGGGGATTCGTATAAAGTATCAGTAGCATACACCAATCAACTACAGAGTTGGCCCCCTGTCAAGTATGATGATGCTCAAGCCCTAAAGAGACTCTCACTATTTCTCATAAAGTGTAGAAATGCAATGAAGAGCATCTCCTACATGGATGTTCTTAATCACACGCCACATTTGCAGRCCGTTGTACAGAAGCTACCTGCCTACCTTCAAAATAAGTGGAGAGACAAAGTCCTCAGTATAAGGCAAGAGGCMCAGAGATGCGCTAACTTTCAAGACTTAGCACAGTTCGTGGAGCGTTCCGCAGAAACGAGTAATGACCCTGTGTTCAGCAAGGAAGCCCTGTGTAAACTAGATGAAAAATCAAGGAGTCCCAGGTTTACGGAGCAGACCACCAAGAAACTCCCGATTCAAGGTAAAAGGAAATTCACAAGAAGCCTAGCGACGTCTTTAGATGGTCCTAAGAGCAGCCAAGACGGGGCCCGGTCAAAGCAGCAAGAAAGGCTGATGAAGTGTCCGCTGTGTGAGAAATCTCACGATCTTGAAGAGTGTAAAGACTTCGTAAAGAAAACCCTGGAAGAAAGGAAGAAATTTATAGCAGAAAAACACCTGTGCTTTGCCTGCTACGGAACCAACCACCGGTCTAAAGGCTGTACCAACAAGAAAGTCTGCAGAACATGCAACAAACCACATCCAACGTCACTCCACGTAGATAACTTCAATCCCAAAGAACAACAGAAATCCAAGGACGAAAGTAAGTCAGTTTCTACGTCCATCGGTAGTACGTGTACTGACACGAAAGAAACTGAAAATAGTCTATCAACCACCACGCAGAATGTCATCCTGCATGCCATTCTACCCGTTATCGTCCGGGCCGAGAACGGAAATATTGCTAAGACATACGTACTTTACGATAACGGAAGTTCGGGCAGCTTCATTACCGAAGAACTAAAGGGACAGTTAGCGATAAAGGGAATCGACACAAGGCTACAACTTGGAACTATGCACGGTTACAGTTCGGTCAAGAGCTCTATCGTTGAAGGACTGACTGTAAGTGATCTGAAAGGTAACAACCCTGTCAAACTGGCTCGTTGTTACACGCGACAAGAAATTCCAGTTAGTCAGCAGCAAATCCCTACTCCCGAGGTAGTTAGCCGATTCCAGAACCTTCGTCAGATAGCAAGTAACATACCTGAACTAGTGACAGACCTCGAGGTTGGTCTTCTACTCGGAAGCGACTGCCCTCTGGCGCTCGAACCCCTAGAAGTAGTTCCAGGCGGAGGAAGCGGGCCTTTCGCCATGCGCCTTCGACACGGATGGACGGTGAACGGTCCACTGCAAGTTGACCCGCAGTCCTCCCGCCTTTTCAATAGCAACAGAATAACAGTGAAAGAAGTGGAGCCCATAAAGGAAGTCATGACTCCCCAGTCTGTTTTAACCATGTTTGAACTTGACTTCAACGACCGTTCGAAGAACTCGGACAGTTATGGTTTGTCAYAAGAAGATAAAGCATTTCTTGAAACGGTATCTCAAGGCATTCAACACGTCAACGGGCATTACGAGCTTCCACTACCCTTTAGAAATCCGGACGTGTCTTTACCGAATAACAGGCATCAAGCGGTTAAAAGAGCTGAATGGCAGAAGAAGAAGATGCTGAGAGATAAGAAGTACCATGAAGACTACGTTAATTTCATAAACGATACCATCAGCAAAGGATACGCAAAGAAAGTTCCCGACGATAAGCTTACCGCGAGTCAAGGAAAGGTATGGTACATCCCCCACCACGGGGTGTACCACCCAAGAAAACCAAACAAAATGCGGGTTGTGTTTGACTGTAGTGCGAAGTTCGAAGGAATTTCGCTGAACGATATGTTATTACAAGGACCGAATCTTACCAATTCGTTGGTAGGCGTTCTTACTTGCTTTAGACAGGAACCCATCGCTTTTATGGCGGACATAGAGGCAATGTTTTGTCAGGTCCACGTGCCAGAGAGTCAACACGACTTTCTAAGATTTCTCTGGTGGCCGAACGGCGACCTGAGTGCAGACCTCAAAGAGTATCAAATGACAGTTCATCTGTTCGGGGCAGTCTCAACTCCGAGCTGCGCTAATTTTGCCTTGAAACGAGTGTGCGAAGATAATACGTCGGAGTTCAGCCCTCAAGCACTGAACACAATAGAGAACAATTTCTACGTAGACGACTGCCTACGATCGGCCAAAGACACAGCATCCGCCATTAAGCTCGTGAAGGACGTAAGTCAAGCCTGTGCTAGAGGAGGTTTCCATCTCACAAAGTTTACCTGTAACGATCGTGCTGTCATGGAATCAATTCCACAAGAGGAACGTTCTAAAGAAACGAAGTCACTTGATTTGAAGCACGACAACTTGCCGATGGAACACGCACTAGGTGTGCAGTGGTGCGTCGAATCGGACGCCCTTAAATTCCGCATAATCATCAGTGATAAGCCACTGACAAGAAGAGGTATCCTTTCAACGATTTCATCGCTGTACGACCCTCTCGGAATCGTCGCCCCATTTACACTGATAGCGAAGAAGCTGCTTCAAGAACTTTGTAGCGATAAAACTATTGGATGGGACAACGAAATACCAGAAGAGTATCTAGCAAGATGGGAAAAGTGGAGAAGAGAACTACCCCTGCTTGAGAAGCTAAGCGTCAATCGATGCCTGACGCCTCCTGGGTTTGAAAGAGTCATCTCACAACAAGTGCACGTCTTTTCAGACGCGAGCTCGATGGGGTATGGAGCTGTTGCATA